GGGAAAGAAATACAAAAGAAACCAATATGCAACAAAGAGAGAGAAATATCAGAACAAGAGAGGAGAAACCAAGTCATCTTTCCTATATATACACACATAATAAACTTGTCCACCCTAACCAAAGCAAACCAGAGCCCCATTAATTATTTTGAGTGTTACAGATTTCCTCTTTACTTACTTGCAACAGTGATCTCTTTTTCTTCTATATATGTAGTGACCTTTTAGCACTTACTCCTATCCTTCAACCCCTTCTCTCCAATCCCATGAAAGTTGACAACAAACCATCCAATTCATCAGGTGACTTTTATCAGCCCAAACCTTTCTTGTTCTCCCAATTGAAATCGATCCCTTCTTAAAATAAAAACCCACCTGAGATTTTCCATCTTTATGTTCACATCATCCTAAACTTTCTCCAAACATAACCATACCAACCTTCCTCTCTTGGTGAACCAAAAACGAATTTCCACTTTTCTACATTTGAAAAAAGCAAGCATGCACGTAAGCCTTTATTTCCACAATTAGCTCACGCTTCAACTCCCTCCATTTCTTCGTTTCAACTCCACTGAATAAGTACTACAATCTAGGCCAAATTTACTTGCAAGCCCTTGTCATCATACACAAAAAGATGGAAGCTTTTCATCCCACTATCACCTTTCCCTTCTCCAACACCTTCAATACTACTAGTAGGGGACATGGTGGCATTGCTGAAAATATCAACACATCCAGTCCTAGTCCATGGATGAATAGTAGGATATGGAGTAAGCTCCCACACCGGCTGCTTGACCGTGTCATCGCCTTTCTTCCACCACCGGCCTTTTTTCGAGCTCGATGTGTCTGCAAGAGATGGTATGCTCTGTTGTTCTCCAACGCCTTTCTTGAATTGTACCTCCAAGTATCTCCTCGCCGCCATTGGTTCCTCTTCTTCAAGCACAAACGCCTCAAGAGCAGCTACATATACAGGAACAACAATATTGGAGGAAGCCATGGTGACAACAACAGGGCTGGTACTGATTGTGAAGGGTATCTTTTTGACCCTTATGAACTTGCATGGTACCGCCTTTCCTTTGCTCTGCTTCCCTCTGGGTTCTCCCCTGCTTCTTCGTCAGGTGGTTTAATCTGTTGGGTTTCTGATCAGGCTGGTCCGAAGACTCTAATTCTGTGCAACCCAATTGTTGGTTCTCTGACTCAATTGCCTCCAACTCTAAGATCAAGGCTCTTCCCTTCCATAGGCTTAAGTGTTAGCCCTTCATCCATTGATGTCACTGTTGCTGGAGATGACTTGATTTCTCCATATGCTGTGAAAAACTTGACTGCAGAGAGCTTTCATATTGATGGAGGTGGGTTCTTTTCATTATGGGGCACCAATTCTTCTCTACCAAAGGTCTGCAATTTTAAATCAGGTCAAATGGTTCATGTTCAGGGAAAATTCTACTGCATGAACTATAGCCCTTTCAGTGTGTTGGCTTATGATGTGGCAGCAAATAACTGGTGGGAGATTAAGGCTCCCATGAAAAGGCATCTGAGGTCTCCAACCTTGGTGGAGAGCAGGGGAAAGCTGCTGCTAGTTGCTGCAGCTGATAAGAGTAAGCTCAAAGTGCCAAACAGCCTGAGGCTTTGGGGCTTGCAGGCTTGTGGAACAACATGGATTGAGATGGAAAGAATGCCAGGGCAGCTTTATGTTCAATTTGCAGAGCTGGAAAATGGAAATGGGTTTCATTGTGTTGTCCATGGAGAGTTCCTTACCATAATGATCCCAGGTTCTGACAAGGCTTTGCTGTTTGATATGTGCAGGAAAAGGTGGCAATGGATCCCTCCATGCCCTTATGTTCATGCTGGGATAGTTGGTGATTTGCATGGTTTGGCTTATGAGCCCCAACTTGCCACACCAGTCACAGGGCTTCTTGATCCATTTCAGCCTTTCACTGGTTAGGAGATTTCGTTTTGGCATGTGATGTTGGTGTTTAGCAGTAGGAGAAGCAGTGGTTGTGATGATAGGGGAAATAGTTGTTTAGTCCAGTTTAGTCAGGAGCTATTGTCAGAACTTTTAAGTGATATTTGATGTCTTTTGTCAATCTCCTCTCTGGTCTGGTGTATCACATGAGGAGATAGTTCGCATGCATGACTAATATAATAATATTCCCTGGAATAAACTACAAGACTGAAGCATAAGTATGTTAAATCAAAGTATGTTAAATCAGTTGGCTAGGGCGGTAAGCTCGCCCAATAAGTTTTCTAACGATAAATCGCACCCTTAGTTGATAACAAAACTGCCAGTCAGCCCTACTGCACATCTTAATGTTGCAGTTAAAAAACATTTGTTAGTATAGTGTTTGCCTGCCAAGTTGTGGAAGAGGTTCTAAGTTTAAATTTTCCCTTCCCCATTGTATTTGCCTCGCTCAACTTTTAATCCGAGCCTTTAGTACAAGTTCTAATGGTTATCTTAAATCTCCGAGTTTAGACCCCAAATCATACAAGAGAGACCTTGAATTTGTATTACACGGCTCAAATTAAAAAGTGAAGCAATGCCAAGACAGAGAATCCATTTCGATACTTACCAAGGGCGTAAAACATTTGAATCAATTCGCATATTAACACGGGTGGAATTTGTGTAAGAAGTAAAATAATGATTCCAATATGTCCTAATTACTTAAAGTGCCCAAGTAGCTAGGATACAACTCTTAAGCAAAGGGTGAAGTACATCAATAAGTTAGCAGTAAAAATAACCTAAAACAAATGTCTTCTTTTGTCAAAATTTTGAACAAATAGTCAAATGTTGTGAAAGTTACAGAAGAGCAAAACAAATGCTGAAACTAGGACTGCAGTATTTACCCCATTTTACAGCCCTTCTTTCCTACAAGAATCTTGCGGTGGCTTAATTTGGGAGTGATAAGATGCTGTTCAATCCGAAGAGAGCCATCTCGCAACTCCTTCCAGTCCGTCCAACCGATGGGATTTCCTAGAATAAGCAGAGATTGTCATTATTTAAGAATCGTTGAGCTGACAGAAATGATAGCCTCAAAGTAGATACAAAAGTCGCTGAATCTCTACCTGATGGACATGGTCTAACAACCTTTCTCGGACAACTTCTAATGATATATTCTTCATTACTTCCTCAGTCATGATGAACGGATCTTCCTCCCAAGATCTTTTGACAGCCTAAACATAAAAACCCACAGAAGAACTGAGATGCGGGATCTAGTACGCAGCGTAACATTAGCTAGAAAGATGAGCAGATTCATGAAAAGAAGTTAGTTTAGGTGCTTTACTCCATCAAGATAAATTTTAGAATACTTTTTCAAACCAAAACTTGAAAAGAGAAGGAGGTGCACAAAGATTAGCAATCCAATTATAATTTCAATACGCAAACCTTATTGGGTTCCCAAAAGACATAATTGCTTCTTACGTACACTGATTAGAAGGACCGACTTATTAATAAAAACTATTCATCTACAAAAAAAGAGAGCCCAACGCATCATTACGGGGTCCAGAATATGACATTTAGCAAACAATACATTTTAAAAAGGCTATTGTAATAGAATTCTTTTTTATGTTCCATTTCCATAGGATCTTATCGCAATGAAGGCATTACTAAAAAGTACACATGCCTGATCCATCAAGTATTGAGTAAGATCTTTCACTCCAGATCCCTTTAGACCCGAAATCATGAAATGCCTACAAGATTAAAGCAATAAACAGATGGTCAGATGTACTCTTAAGAACCATGGGTTCCAAGAAAACAACAAACACCATCTCTCATTTTCTACAAGGAAACCTTACCTTTCATACCCAGGAAGATCTTTGAATTGCTCGGCAACCGTTCGTAAATCTTTCTTCTTCTCAACTAAATCAATCTTATTCATACATAACACTCTCTTTTGTATTGGGTGTGCTTCTGCTCCCATACGCTTGATTAATCCTATAACCCTAGCATCAGGTCTACATAGATGGAAATGAAAAGAACCAGGTGATCAGGGACCAAATAATATTGGAAGAGAGAGAGAGAGAGAGAGAGAGAGAGAGAGGTAAAAATTTGCCTAAATGGAACCTGGCTGTCATATGTATCTAGGTCTGATGCTTATGTTCATTTCATGCATTAGCGCTATCACACTTAGGAACTATTATAAAACAAGCCCATATAATAGCTTGATAAGAAAGGTTGTGGAGCCAAATGGTGGGAAATATTGTTCGAAGGAAAATGAAGAATAAAGCTTATGGAATATCAAATGGAATGGACCACTAACCTGGTAAGATGCCTATGGACGTCGAAAATAACTATGAGCTAGCTATATGAAGAGATAGGGCTTCATCTTTTGAACCATGGTAAATCCGACAATGAAGAGAGAGCTTTCAAGCCACAATAAGTGAATAAATGAAGCGTAATTTCAAATCTGAACAACTTTAAGCAAATGCTGCATTGGATTTCTTTATTGAACTTTTTTCTTTCTTACTTAATTAAGAAGTGATTTTAAGATTTCTGTTTCTTCAATTTTGACTTTTACTTGCGTCATACGAAGTGAAAACTGATTTAACGAACTAATAAGTATGGCATGAAAGAGCCTAGAAAACCTCAAGCAGCAGAACATATAGATGTGAACCGTTTATATATATATATATATATATATATCTCTCTCTCTCTCTCACACAGAACTATCACCACAACAAGATTAGACATGAGTGGAGCTATCTGACGCGGTAATTAATCAACTTTTGAAAGTCTACAGACAAAGAAAAACGTATTTAATTCACAAAAGCTTTGTTTTTTTACTGGTTTTTTGGGTTTCATCTGAGAATAGTTTGAAGTCAATAATTCAATACTGAAAGGAAACCTACTCTCACTATGATTTCCATCTAGAACATCTCTAAATGGAAATATTTTTTGAAGTACCATACCTGTTTGCTTGAAGGTAAATATTTGTATGTCTCTTCCCTAAAGAGGGTAAAGTAACAGTTAAAGCTCCATGAAAATTTGGGCAAGTCAAAGTTGCCAAAACCAAATAATGAGAAATGAAATCTCTGAAGCAACTAGAGGAGGAACTGAGGCCAAACTAGCTAGCTAGCCAAAGGAAGAAACTTTGAAAAGAAAGAAAAAGAAATGAGAGAGAGAGAGAGAGAGAGAGAGAGAGAGAGAGAGAGGGTACTATAGCTACTGGGTTGCTTGAAGGGAAAACACAATTTCCAAATATGTGGAGTACACCTTTTTCTAATATAGAAGTTTCTTGAGGGAAGAAATAAATTTCCAAATATGATTATCACTACTTTTTCCATTTTAGAAGCATGAACTCTGAGACAAATGATAATACTTAAAGATTGACAGAAACAAGACATGGTGATTGTTCTGACTCAGATTTGCTTCCCTTAACAAAACCAAACAAAAGCCAAGAGGCTTACATAAAGAGAATATTATGACTCAAAGAAAGTAGTCAGAAAGAGCAGATTACACAGCTTCTTTACACAGAGTGCATTGTAATTATAACATTATTTGAAGATCTCATCAAGTCTGAAACTTCAAGCCTTGGGGGTCTTCAAAATAAAGTTTTTTGTTGTTCACGCCATGTACAACTGCAAAAACCCATCAATGAGATTGGATTGGACATATGATCTGACAAAGTCTTTGTGTCATACACCACCTGCATTAGGGTTGCATGATCCCTCTTGCACTAAGCCAAACATTAGTAATAATACCAACTTATTCAAATCATGTTAATATAATTACTCGATTAGGTTTCCTTAAAAGTGAGGGTTATATTTCAATAATTGTTAACGTTGGAAAACCAGATAATTTGAACTTGAGATCCATAGTAATGTTGAGAAGAAAGAAATAAATTAGATTAAGAGTTTGATGATCTTACCTTCTTGGGTTATTAAACATGGCAAGGTTTAGATGAGATTGTAAGTTGTAGTTCACGTGTTAGTTCCGAGGTCTATGCCTTATTAAGTTACCTAATAAAATACATAAATCTCATCTTACCTTGTTGAATCTAAGATCCAAAATTCATAAATCTCATCTTATTAAGTTACCTAATAAAATACTTTTAGTGATCTTAAATATCATCTCTTAGGTCATCTCCAACAATGGGCCATATTCCAAATATAACTCTAAAATAATGCAAAACTCATCTCCAGCCATGAGCTAAATTTTTTTTTTTTGCCAAATTTGGAGGGCCACATTTGGCCCTTTAGCCCTTCAACCGAGCTAAATGTAGCTCAGCTTTGGCCTAGGCCAAATTTGTAGCGGGGCCCATGATCCATCTATGTGCTTTTCAACAGCCAACATTAATATATATAGATTTTAAAAAGCTTTTTGAATGTTTCAATTCGTAGTGTTTAAGAAAAAAGTCTAAAAAATTGTTGGCAATGATGTTGAAGATCAGACCTACCCAGTCCTTCCTTAAAAAAATAAAATAGTAAATAATAAATGTCGTCAGCTTTTCTAATCTTTTCAAGTGTTGTTTAAAAACAATTATAAAAAAGTCTTGTTCGTGACCATTGGAGCTCAAACATTGAAACCAATCCTTTTTTTTTTGGTCTTCACATATTTAAATGTTTAGTATTGTTTAAAAAAATTATAAAAAATTATGGGTCATGACCGTTGAAGGTCAGATCCTTGAAACCTTTCCAATTTATTTTTTTTAATTGCCTTTGTTGTCTTTATTTATTATTTTTTTTAACATAGTAGTTTAATTAAATTAAACAATATATGGTTGCGGAATGTATAAGTATTGTACCATAGTTTTTTTCAAAATAATAAAATATGAAGGACCATAAAATATAGACATGCATGACTGGAGATGGAAAAATTTAGCCATGCACTATTCTTTAAAAAATTAATATTTTGAAGGCCTAAATTTATAACTATGAACTACATTTAGCCATACAACTGGAGATGGCCTTAGTCTTCCCTGATCCAAAGTCCAAAGACTCTAAACTCCTTTCCCTTCAATGACACTATACTGCCAGGAAACAACACCAGATAGAATATATTTCTTCTTTAAGAGCATTTCCAGCAAGCAGGCTGGGGGGAGGGCTGGGGGGGGCTGGGGGAAAATCTTGTTTCCAGCAACCCAAAGCTGCCAGGGCAAGGTGTGGGCCCCAGAAAAAAAAATTTGCCTGGGCTAGCCCTCGGGCAGGTCCATCCCGAGCAGCAAAACGAGTTTTGGGCCGACGTCAGCGCGCTAACGTCACGACGACGTCAACGCAGCTGTTAAATTTTTTTTAACGTTGGCGCGCGGCACGTACGCGCCACCA